CGCGACCGCTGGACGGATACCTTGGCGTAGCGGACCACAAGGTGACAGCTCGCTAGCCCGCTCGCACGCCACCCGGCTGGGGAATCCCGCACACCTAACCCTGCCCTCTTTCCCGGGGCTGGGAGGCGCCGTGAGTAGGTGCCGTTCGGAGGCCGGAAGGGGGAGTGGACCCGCTGGGTGGGTGGGATGGTTCCTACTTGATAGGAATTCCTATTTGGAAAAGGATGCAAAGTTTTCCAGGGAATAGGGATGGGATGAGTGGACCCCAAAGCCCAATGTCCTAACAGGAATGGGCCCTGGAACTTGAACCCTCTGATCCCCAGAATTGCAGGGCCGGTGCGTGCTGGTTTCCGGAAGCCTAGGGTTTGGCTGCCAAGTCTCGCCTTTGTGGGAGTTGACCCGGAATGGCGCTAGTAGCAGCCCTGGCGTTCCTCCGACCGTGAACCAGAGGGTGAGGCCGCTGCTCAGGCTCAAAGACTCCCCTCTGATCTCTGCTTCGGTTGCTCTGGGCAGAATTGCCACAGCCCTGGAGAGCGGTGCCCAGGCAGACACGCGAGGTTGGAGGCACCAACTCAGCTTCCATTGGCTTGAAACTCATCGTTGAGGGCCTGTTTTCCTCTGGCTTCCCGGGAAGCTGCTGGCTGGCTTGGCTAATAATTAATAAGATAAATTTTTTAAATTGAGCCTCCTCTTCCTGGAATAATGAGTGTCTGGTTTCAGTGTGTGAAGCCTTTGGGAGAATCCTAATCAAGTTTTCTGATTCTGAAAAGACAGTTTAAATGCATTCCGCTTTATTTGAAGCTGCTAATATATTTTGATTAAAACACAATTCCACTCTGTGTCTGCTCTGTAGAGCTAGAGGATTTCTTGAAACCACCCAACTAATCTGCTTTTTATATTACTAGATTTTATGGTTGTGGACCAAAGTGATAGTTAGCAGGTACTCCTTTTGTGTGGAAAGATTGCTCTTACCCTGCATGAAAAAGCCAAACTTTTTAAAGGAAACAAAACATTTCCATTCATTTGTGCAATGAATAATGCTAAGGGTTTTTGGAAGGTACAAAAGAATTTAAGGCAGGACTCAGCCTTTAGAGGTCTTTGCATTCTTGGGGGTGGTGGTTAGGGGTTGGGGGATACCATGAAGTATAGACAGATAGATAGATAGATAGATAGATAGATAGATAGATAGATAGATAGATAGATAGATGATAGACAGACTGATAGATATACGTGTATAGGAAATGCAAGATGTAAACTGTTAGTACTGTTGGGTACAGAGATGAGAAAGATAGATCACTGCTCACTGGAAGGATCAATGGAAGTTTCTTTGAAAACATGGAACTTGCACTGGGAAGAATTCAGAGAAGCAGAAAAGAGGAAGAGATTTCATTACAATGTGATTAGGGGGAGGGGGCTGTGGTAGACTCAAAATCAAAAGTAGAGAGGCTCATCAGTTTTACAATTCCAGCTGCAATTTTCTAAGTTGCTGATTGATTACACACTTTGTATCTGCATGTGGGAGCAACTGGTAAGGGCTGGAGTTCTAGGAAAGTTTAGAGATCGGCCTCTGACTGTGGGTGGATGTGTAACTGGAAATGATGAATATATTGAACGTAGCTATTGTTTACTGGAAATGGTATTAGCACTGGTGGAGTTTTGATTAACAGGGTGTCAGAAGGTACATTTGCTGAGAGCTTTGATGGGCCTGTGGGAAAATATTCCTAATACTTTCCTCCTTGTGCTCTTCTGCTGGACACCAGCTAAGAGCATTGATAGCCTAAGGCAAAATATGATGCCCTCATGTTTGCAAAACAGTGTTTATTCACACAAATAGGTCGTATTCCATTTTCAATGTATCAGAGCTTTAGTTCATTAAAATGAAGGACAGCTCTTTTTCTGGAAGGAATGTTGACACTCTGTATGAGAAAGTGAGATGATCTGTAGTAAAAGGGTTTTATAAATTCTGAAGTGTTGTGGGCATGATAAATATGTGTGAATATCCTTGAAATTGTTAGCAGAGAACTATAAACATGACCAGGAAAATCTTTGCAGATAATTAATAGTAATGAAATTCTTTCATAGAAAACCAATATGTCTCAAAATTCCATACCCAAAGGGTTCAGCAGGGTTTGCCCCACCCAAGCAAAGGAACAAAGGCAAACCTTAAAACCTATGCCTCTTTCTAGGCATCCTCCCAATTGTCCCACGGAGCTATACATAAACTTCTGCTCAAAATGCAATCATTGACCCTCTTAACTGTTACTATTTAGCTGGCTAGCAATTAGGCAGAGTTCTATGTCTGATGGCTGTCTGAATGTGCATGTGTAAAATATTTGTCCTCTCCAAAAGGTGCTGTCTAATCATGTTTACTTTGGGATCTTCCTATATCTTGCTTAGGCAGAGATTTGTTAGAATATTGCTAGGAATTCTTTTCTTTTCTTTTTTCAATTAACACCGGGGAGGGTAGGAAATGACAGCTTTTCTATTTTTGTTACATTACCAGATGATACTCTGATTGCTCTTTTTGTCTTCACTCTCACATCAGGCCTTAGAAAAATTATAGGATGTGCTGAGTGTGATGACCACCAAGCCATATGCTGCTGCATATTGAATCAGAATTCCAACAGACTTTTTATCTGCCGCTGATTTACAGAATCTGGGGAGAGTTACAGATTCCACTTAGGAAACTGTTCACATCTCCGTGGCCAGAGGTCCCAGAGTCGGCGAAACATGTAGTGTTTCTGTTCCGTTATATGAAGGTATTAACATTATAACTCCAAGATTAAATTCAACAGGTGGTCCTAAGCCCAAGCACCTGACTTTCACAAATTACAGCCTGTCTGCAATGATAGCCTTGTCTCGTGCAGCAGCAGACTAAATTGCTGTTGAGATTAAATCACTGTACGCCTTTGTTGAAAGACATGCTGCAAGTCAAGTCAGTGATGAGCAATATGTGTTGAAGCTTAAAATATCACTTTCCATGGTCATATTTCCTACGTCCTCTTTTACAGATGATGCTGAAATTGTAATTCCAGTAGGACCCAGTGAAGGCTACTTGGAGTTCCTTGTGATAATGAAGGCATTTCGTTCTTGTTGTTGTTAGATTCTTTCTCTTCATTTCCAATACCTCTCCCCCAGACCTTTCCCCACAAATGTTTCACCAGTTTATTTCCACCTTCTTACACGTCTGTCATTGCAGCTACTGCATCTGTATCTTGACATTACTTTCTTGGTTCCCGTTTTTAAAAGCCATTGATTCTAACCTTATTGGCCAGACGGAAGCAAAGAAGCCAATTTGGGGAATCTTCTGCATTTAGAACTGCAGCATAATATATAACCAAACTGACACACACACGTACACTCGATCAAGCAACCCTCTGAGGAAACCTCCAGTCTCCCAGCAGAGGGGAAGGGGCCTGGAGCACCATTCTATTTCCAGTCCGGATCTGGTCTGGGCAGATAAAGTTATTTGCCATCTGGTGGACTCTGTGAAATGAAACTGTGAGCTGATTCCCATTTCTAGTGGACAGGAGCCCTTATCACAGAAGGCCCATTTGTCACCCGGACTGCCCTTTTCAGAGAGGGCTTAGAAAAGGGCAGTGATCAATGGGGTCTGAAGCCAAGCTGCTATCTCCTTGCTTCAGTAGTAGCTCCCAGGAGTGGATTTTATACATACCTGTAACATGCTTCTTGCTTCTTTCTCTGCCTCTTTTCTTCCATCAGTCTTCAGTTATTCAAGCAAAACAAACTGCTTAAAGGTAATAGTACTATAATTATTAATTGCTAGATGTCCAGTTGAAATACGACAAACCAATGCAAGAGTTAGAAAATAATTCAAAACCAAAAAAGGGCGAGAGGGGGCACATGCCATATAACTTACTTTGAAATTATGGCATAAGTATTCTTCTTTTAGAAAAGTATGTAAATACTCAAATACAAGTTTATACCGTTAATTATACTCTATGGTATTGGAGTCATCCGATGAATTATAAATAATTTGGATTTTAAATAGATCCAAAGCAAGCTAATTTTCAGTACTCAAGTAGTACAAAGTATAATCGACTACTGATAATGAAACCCTGTTTTCACAAAACATCAACCAAAGGAAACATGACGTGGACTATTTGTTCATGGGTAAGGAGCTATGATAATGTGGTTACTGTTAATGGGATAATTGATTATACAACATTTATTACAATACTTAATCTTCCTTAATTTTATGAGAGCAAGGAGTACTTATCCAGCTTCCCACAGGAGGAATCCCAAGATACTTCCATGTCAAAGCCCAGGCCATACCTGTTGGATGAGTCTAGCCTGGCTCCCTTTCAAGTTCGAAGCATTCTGGACTCCTTGCTGATCCTTGAATACTCATTCTTCTCAAGACCTTTGCACTTGTTATTTCCTTTCTCTATAAATCTCTTGCCCAAGATCTTTTGCATAGTGATTTCTTCTGGTCATTCAGCCCTCAGATCACATGTCAACTTCTTGTGACCCACTCCTCAACAGTCTTTAAAGAGCCCCTTCCTTAACAATCATTCTCTACTATATCAGCCTGTTTTATTTTTCTCATAATTCTTACTTTCTGAAATAATCTTCAAGTTTACTTATCAGTTGTTTGCCCTCCTCCAAGAGAATCTAAGCACTGTGAGAGCAAAGTATATACAACCTCTGTATGCTTTTCTTTGGTATAGCAAAGGGTCTCCTGGACTCTTGACCAGTTTAACTGCAAGCCCTAGATCAGCATTTGGTACTTACTGGGCACACAATAAGTATTTATTGAAAGAAAGTAGGAAGTGGGGGTGGGGGTGGGAGGAGGATGTCAAGAAGGACAGAGCTACCTCATCTTATGTTAAGTTCTTTCTCTACAAGAAACATCAGTGCAGCCCCAAGGCCCTGGTATGTCTCATCATTCTTAAATTTGTTATAATAATAATGGGAAGGAAAAAGAAGAAATTACCTAAAACATAAGAATCTTTGGGAATGATGTTTAGGAATCTACATTTTTAAAAATATGTATATTTTTATTGATTTCACAAAGGAA